TTTATTTTTCTGGCCCAACCCAAAATACACAAAAAGGAACCGGGTCAGATTCCTTAACCGACCCGGATCCGAACCGACTCCGCCCGCCCTCACAGACACGACGACGCTCTGCCTTCGCGGCCTCACCCTAGCGCTCGCGGCGTTTCACCTGCCGCGGCCGCACGCCGACGCCCGACACCCAAGCTACCGTCGGCTCGCCGCCGTGAGCCGAACCCGGTGCCGGCTCGACGACCGCCAACCCCCACGCCTGCCCGTTTCAGCCGCTGCACTTTCTCTGTCTCTGCTCCTCTGTCGTCCAGTCCTTCACCGCGACGGAGACGGCCGTGGGGAGCAAAGCCGCTCGTTTCCGTCAGGCTGGGGGACCTCCAAGAGGTTGCGGCGAAGAGTCCAAGGAACGCGATGTTCGCGGCCTTCGCGGACAGCTACGATGACGGCCACGGATCGGGTAACACCGATGCCCTGGCAACAACATCCCCTTCGCCCGGACCGCCGTTCCCCGGACGGCCTCGACTTCAGCCAAAAGAGGGATATATAACTGGATTTCATTGAGGCTTTTCAACAAACAGGTGGCGGGTGCTTCAAGAACGAAGGATTCTCGGCTCGTTCGGGGGCTCGGCTCCGAACCAGGACTCTGGACACGCGACGTATCAGGTTATGGGGACTCGACATGGAGACGGCGTGAGTCGGAGTTCGCGTGAACAGAATGGTTGCGAACTCCGACTCGAGATGCCCAAAAACAGAGCCCAAGGGACTCTTGGCCAAAACAGGGGCTTACCGACGTCGACAGGAGTTCGGGTCGTTGGACGAGGCTTGCAAGGAGCTAAGGCGTTGACCGAGGCTTCCTCTCGCTCTCACTTTGCCTCTTATTGATGGACTCCTCTAGCTTCTTACTCGGGCATTTTTTCGAACACCTAAAGTGCGTGGCTTCGAAGATGGAAAAGGGGCGTGGTCACGACTCGTCGATTGTGGTTCCGGCACGGTGGGCACTGGGAAGCTTCACACTAGACGTCTCTCCCCTTTGCTCGCCCAAAAAATCTCTCTCCATATCTCTCTCTTACTCCCTTCTCACTATTACCGCTTCCCCTGTTTTTTCTCTTCTTCCCCCCTCTCTGTTTTTCTCTTGTCACCGTGGCCACCCCCCCTTCTCTCTCTCTCTCTCTCTGGTCTTTTTATCGCCGACAGCCACTTGCCTCTTCTCCATTAACTCGCCCTGCATCTTCGTCGCCTAGCCTAGCCTGTCCCCTTGACTTTTGTGGCAATTTTATGCCGGTGCATAGGCGTTCACTCCATCCACGGTGATGCTGGGAAGGAGAGGGGAAGTAGAGAAGGAGGCTAGGCCGAGAAAAGGAAAAGATGGTCGGGTCAGGCCGGCCTTGGCCTCGCCCGATCTGATTTTGATTTTGATTTTTTTAATTATTTAATTATTTATTTTTAAATTAATTTTGTTTAGAAAATGGAAATATATTCTAATAATGAAAAATAAACCTGAAGTTTATATGTCATGCAATTAAATAAAAATATTTTTGTTTTAGGAATCAAAAATTTAATTCCTAATTTTGTGTAATTTAATTAGGCAATTAAAAATAGGTACCAACAGATGGTAGATTAGGGTGAGAGATACTGATTAAAGATTTGCTGTGAAACGAAAATTAATTTGAGATAAATCTATGATTGTGTTTTAATTTGGGACTTTAATGGTATAAACCCCTTTTAGGTTAAATAAACAGAATTTGAAAAGATTCGGGTAAAGATACAGATCAGTACGCAAGATTTTTGCAAAATTAAGGTTATCAACGATCAATATCTTCTATTTGAAAAGTATTTATCGCTGGATCAAATGGGGATGTGAATGGTCATAATTTGAAGTTTGAACCGTCTTTCCTAACGAAGAAGCCTCGAGATAACTTTCTGCTTTTGGATCTTGACGCTCTGTGGATTTTTATCTCCAAAATAGTAAATGTTAGAGGTGTCCAAGGAGACGTCTATACCAGGTGGACCTCTTTTCATTTCACTCTGTTTAGTGAGCATCCACAAGCTTTCGTCTAATAGCATGGACTCAGATGTGCGGCTACTTAGAGACTCAAAAAATACCTTGCGATTTCTATAAATCAGTCAAGTCAGGCGTTTAGACTGCGCATGACAACGATTCTGTGCCCGGGAACAGATTCTGCTCAGAAATGATTCTTTTTTATTCTGTGCCCGAAATTGATTCTGAGCATTTAAAGGCATTTGTTAACAGCCCAAAATTCCATCCCTGGAATAGAAAAAGAACAGAAATGCGTTTGGTAACGTCACAAAATTTCTTTTTATTAATAATATTTTTAAATATTTTAATATTTCTTTCTTTTTTTTCTTTTCTTTTTTTTCTTTTCTTTTTTTCTTTTTCTCCTTCTTGGCTATAGCCTGCTCGCCGGCCATGACCGGTAAAATATTTTTTTATTAATAATATTTTTATTAAAAGTATTTTTTTTCTTTTTTTTTGCCATGGCCTGGTCGCCGGCCATGACCGGTAAAATATTTTTTTATTAATAATATTTTTATTAAAAATATATTTTTTTATTTTTTTTGGCCATGGCCTGGTTGCCGGCCATGGCCGGTAAAATATTTTTTTTATTAAAAATATACATTTTTATTTTTTTGGGCCATGGCCTGGTCGCCGGCCATGGCAGGTAAAATATTTTTTTTATTAATAATATTTTTTATTAAAATATTTTTATTAAAAATATATATTTTTATTTTTTTTTGCCATGGCCTGGTCGCCGGCGATGGCTGGTAAAATATTTTTTTTATTAAAAATATATTTTTTTCTTTTTTTTGGCCATGGCCTGATCGCCGGCCATGGCCTGTAAAATATTTTTTTTATTAATAATTTTTTTATTAAAAATATACATTTTTATTTTTTTTGGCCATGGCCTGGTCGCTGGCCATGGCCGGTAAAATATTTTTTTTATTAATAATATTTTTATTAAAAATATATATTTTTTCTTTTTTTGCCATGGCCTGGTCACCGGCCATGGCAGGTAAAATATTTTTTTATTAATAATATTTTTATTAAAAATATATTTTTTTCTTTTTTATGGTCATGGCTTGGTCGCCGGCCATGGCCGGTAAAATATTTTTTATTAATAATATTTTTTATCAAAATATTTTATTCTCGTCAGATCCGGCGAGGGCGGTCCTCGGGCCGGACATTAGAAGCTAAATTAAAAACCAAGAAAAGGAAGAAGAAAAAAAAATTGATTCTCAAAATTGTTCCCAGAATCAAGAAGCTACTTTTTTTTTATTCTTGATTCTGCTCCAAAACTGATTCTGGGAACAATTTTTGACAAAATTGTGCCCAGAATCAAAAAATTAAACAAACGCATTTCTGTTCCCAAACTGATTCTGGGAACAAAAGAACAGAATCAAACACTGTTTGGCAAGTTGTCATGCGCAGCCTTTAGTCTATGTAGGTGGCCCAAATCCATAATAATATATATGAAATTGATAGGATTTGAATAGATAGCTTTTGAATCTTGAGTTGGAATTTTCTCGACACCACGATCATTTGTGAACCTTGAGTTGAATCTCTCCTTTATCAGTGAACCTCAAGTTGACCCAGGTTGGGGCTGGATCCCCATGTCTGGGTCCCTGGCACTGGGCATGGGGACCTAGGGCCTTTGCTTGGACCCCCTGCGAACGTGCCTCGATCCCTGGCAGTTCAGCTTGAGTCACTCGGGGCTGAGATTGGGTCCCTAGAGGCTAGTCCCATGATCTCGACGAATGAGCTATCATCCCTAATAGTCAAGCTTGATCTCATGCACCCAAGCCCCAATGCCCGACACTCGTACCTAAGGCATGAGATTGCACTAGAGATGTGTGTATTTGATAACTTTCATGTAACAGATATCAGAAAATTACTATCATATTATTCACAAAATACAACCATATATAAAAGAATTCCTAAAAAAATCGTTTTGGATGGCTCTATTTTAACCCTCTAAATGACTAAATCCACTCCATTTACACTAAAAATACAGATGTGTCCTTAATCTTTCGATTGCAATTTAAAGTGATGATCCCGCTCCTTTTTTTTATTTTTCCTTTTTCTATCTAGGATCTAGTCACCATATCTCGCCATCTCTAGCTTTGGTTTTCTTACTGTACGTCTTTGAAGAGGTTGACTCTCGCGCGGTTAAATCTTGGATAAAAGATTTGGACTTTCTTGACCAAAAAAAAGGAACTTTCCATAGGCCAAAAAAAAAACACGACACTTATCACTTTAATAGTCCCTTCAAGATAAACTCTAATTCAAACAGGAAAGTGGATTTTTGAGATATAATTTAATAAGTAGTGAGCATTTAATGCTCAGCAAAACAAAAGAACATAGATGAAAAGAAACTCAAATGAATCCCATCTCTCTCAAAAAAAAAAAATATTGGATGAGTAAACGATGAGGCTCAATCTTTATGTATAGAATTGAATCCAGCTTTAAATCTTTTGACTAATTCAATCGAATCTTGCACTTTTATCAAAACATGAAAGTTATTTATATTTGAATAAATAGGAGATATTCAATGTTTAAGAATGTCTTGTCATGTTTACGTAGATTATAGATGGAGTGGACCAACATTCAAACATTAGAGTCATTCGACAAAAGCTAATGTTCTATAAATCGATAAGGACTACAATTGAGTTTCGAAACACGACCCGTTGGTTCAAATACTGTTCAACAAGTCATGCTCCTCCAGCAGCTTTTAATTTTCCTCCTAATCCCCAGCAAGCTACTCATTCAAACTTATTTTTCTGTTGAATCATGATAATCAAGAGAGACGCGTGGTTATCCTGCTTTCTAAAACGCTCTCCGACTCAAAGAATTGCGTTATTTCGCACTTAAAAGCTCCACTCTCTGCACTTTAGCCAAAAAGAAACAAAACTCTACTCTCTGCAAATAAACGGATTGCTTCAAGGCTGAAGGACGAACAGCGTGTCTCGCTGGATCGCGATAGGAGAGAGCTTCAATGGTGTCATCCGGCAGCGGCGTCACATTCAAGCTCCATCTCCCTGTGATCTTGAATATTTGCGATCACTCCGTCCGTGCCAAGTCTCATCTGCCGTCCTCCACGCATGGTGCCGGCAATGGCATTGATATGACCGTAGCGGCCGATCCTCCAAGAGTGTATGGGTGCGTGATCGGAATCCAGAGGGGTCGCACCGTAGATATATACAACGGCTTCGAGATTTGCAACCCCGTCACTCAATTGCTCGATGGCGCCTTTCTCAACGAGCAGCAAAAGCGCTGTTCAGTCCCTTCTCTCACCCTCTCGCTCTCTCTGTTTATCTTCCGTTTTTGGTCCTTTTGCTTTCATGATTGTGAGCGACTTGTATTATGACCGCTTGCTTCCATTGTGTAGACGGAGGGGCTTAGGATTTGAAGCATAGTTAGTGTTCTAACTTTTTCTTTTTTTGCTTTATAATTGGCGACAGACAAGGGGATATACCCGAATTTTGATGTACTAGGATGGTACTCAACCGGGAGCGATGTAGCAAAATCGGATATGGCCATTCACAGAAGTGTAAGTTCAGATGTGTAATCTTTGGTTGGTCGTGATATTTGCCTCATGTATTGATTCTATTTTGTTCCATTTATTTGAGCATGTAGAGTGTCTTTGTCTCTATATATATAGACACACACAAAAGATGCACTATTTGGGATAACACCGAAATCCAGTTCACACATGAATTCTGCAAATTAAGACTCGAACAGCAATATATTCTTTTACATATATGTTATATGTGTCCTTATGTGGTGCAATTCATCCAAGTCGGTACGAGCTACATCCTGAATTATCAAGCAGAATGGTTATATGCTAAATTCAAATCTCTACGTTTATTGTTGTTTGTTGGGTGTCTAGATTACAAAAGGATGATGGCTATAGATGGCTATATGCATTTACACTGGTATATTTCATTTAACAGTTGATGAATATCAATAAAAGCCCCGTGTACGTTCTTCTCAATCCTCGTGCCCATAAGGATCCCCATGTTACTATCTACGAAAGTGGTAAGTGACTTCTATGTCCTTTTTTGAAATTCCGTTGGTTACCTTGTTGTCACGGGAATTCTATTCATGGTAATGTTAGCAATTCCTCCTTCCAATCGTGCGTTGCGCTGCATTTGCTAGATAAAGCGTTGGCTTCTTCGTATTTAGTGTTTCAAGAGCATTTTATACATGAAAGAGGCAGGTAGTCATCACAGTCAAGAGTTTAGGAAATTCAGCTCTTTCATTAGAAATAAACATTTTAGCTCTAATAAAATTTTGATGCCGTGGCCTATGGACCATTTTTTGGAACATTTAGTTATGCCTTTCGCAGCATACTATCTTATAACATTTGTTGCAACATCCAAATGTTTATTGAAATTTTTAGTTGATTGATTTTTCGCAACTAATAACACCGAGATGATTTTTCCTATATATTGGACAGTTCTCCACACAACCATAGAGGTGCGTGTCAAAGATGGGATTCCGCATGAAATTCGAGAGCATATATTTGTTCGTGCTAGCTACACTATTGAGGTATGATTTTTTATGTTCTCATGCATCTTGGTTTATCTACTTATTCTCAACTAGGATAATTGACTCTCTCTTTCTTGCTTTGAAGACGGAAAAAGCAAAAATGATATCAGGCGATCACGTTGCTCATCTGAACCCATCTAATGGGGATACATCGGCAACTGTGGGTAAGGCCTCGTCACCTTCCATACTCTTTAAGGATACATCTTATGTCTAATAAAACTAACTTATTCATGATTTCTAGATCACAAAACAAAGTTACAGATGTATGCGCACAAGAGAAAAGTGTCTCAGCCTGTTTATGATACCATCATTGTTCGATCTAAATTTGGAAAAGCATTTGAATCAACCGTATCCATAGATGGGGATTGCTTCACATCCGAAATCTTCCCGAAAAAAAAAGATGCTGAAAAAGATGCTGCACGACTTGCATTATGTCACTTGTCACCGAAGATGAAGGACGAAGGCTGTCATCTAATCCATGAGGTTTGATAATTCTTTATTTATTCATGCTATGCTTCATATACAGTCACTTGAATTGTTTGTTAGAATGTGTGGTATGGCTGCCTATAAATCATTTTTTTTAACTTCTTCCATATTCTTTTCATGCAAATGGATATCTTGAATAAACCTTGAATTTAATCAATTAATGCATTGGAGACCTTCCAACTATGGATGTACATCATAACTAAGAAAGTAGCTAACATACAGCAGGCAGCAGAACCTTCATCTGCTGCAGGAAAGGAAACTGAAGTTCTTGGAACTAAAGAGGAAGAGCTTAATGAGAAAGACGAAGATTTTAAAGAGAAGGAAGAAAAGAGAAAGGAGGATGAGACTCAGGTGGAGTCTTCTAGCGGAGGAGAAAAGAAGAAGGAATCTCCCGAATTGAGTGAGCTAAGGAATGACGTCAAAAATCTTATGGCGCAAATGATTGAGCTAAAAGATTCTCTTCGTACCATGCAGAGTAGTTTGGGGAATTACTTGAACCAAGTCGAACATACTCTGCATTCCATGAAGAGTTATGATTTGCTCGAGGCTAATCAGGACCCCTCAATGACACCTCCATCCTCTAAGAAAAGAAAAGAAGGGTGATTCGTATTTGATTTTCGTCTTTTTAGTGCTGTTAATGAATTGACTTGATGTTTTTGACAAACCTTGATTTTTTCGGTGAGGACTGAAAATACTTGGGTAAGTAGTCATTTTGCTTATATATTTGACTTTCTGATCATGACAAAAAAGTTTATTGTCTAGTAAGGGAGTCTGAGATTGCGGTGAAATCTTTGGAAGGCAGAGAAATATTTCATATTGATACGTAAAAACCCTCTTGACTTTTGGAGAGGAGCACCAACCGGCTTCCCAAAAAATGGCACACGAACAGTAAATAAATTACGGCCAGCAAGGGTGAAGAGGCCATCGAGCGGTGAAAGAGAATCCGGAAAACTACAAATTCACAAGAGTACAGTGAGGAACACGCCTCTTCTTCTCGTGTTGTTTGCATAAATCCTCGAAGTAAGGAAGACCAACAGCTCGGCATTCTTATTCCGTGGCCTCCATCGATGATCTCCAGTCCGCATCTCACGGCCACTTCGACCTCGGCGTTCTTTCCCCGTCGCGCTGCATCCATCCCCGTTGGCAGTATGATTCAATTTCAAGTGCTTCCGCATTATGCATCATTGAGGATTTACGAAATAGACATAAAAATAAATATTACGATTTTTATCCAAAGTTGCGGCTCGACAAAGATGATTATTGAGAACGAGATCATGTGTCAACGACATGCTATAATGAAAAACTCATACGGGAGAAATTCAACCAGAAAAGGTACATAAACAAGACGTGATCTTTCCTCAGTCAAGGTGAGTAGTGTTTCCAAAAGCTAAAAAGGAAACATAACAAAGGGAAAAGAAATCAAAAGCTCAAGCATACTTCTCGTTAGATGCTGTCAGGGCTTAGGCTTCACCTGCTCACTTCTCAAAGATACTTTTACAAACGCAACATAATTTGATTATATTTTTCTCCATCAACATATTACCAATCAAGAAATCTCGATAATTCATGAATTATACTGAAATAGAAAAAATTATACCGGACTCTTTCTGCTAGAAATTTCATGAAACATAGCATATATATTTTTTAAAATTTTAAGTTGAATCAGTTTTCACATCTTTATCCCCCATCTCCCACCAAAAGAAAAGGCCTTCAACAAACTAAAACAGCATTGCAGAGGAAAAAATTAACTTGTGATCACATGATGAGGTTTGTTTAGCTTATCTAAGTAGGCCTAGTCTCGATAATTTATCGAAAACCACCCCTTGTAAATCCAGATACCATCCAACTTGGATGCACCAGTTTGTAATCTCCTTCACTAGCAGTTTTTCCCATGCTTCGTTTTATGAGGTAGTTATAACATTTTACGATAAATTTTTCTCTCGGAATTTGAGGATTCCACTGGACACATTGCTGCTATTTTTGCTACATATAAGTCCACAAGAGAAGACGCTCGAGTAATGATCCAAAAATTTTAGACTAGCCCTTGAGCAAGAGCCATCACAATACTATAAGCACAGCTTGACCAAACTTATTAATTTGAACTAGATACTTAAATTGCAATACAAGCCAAGTATGTTTCATAAGATGAAATCTTCAAAATCATCTGATTGGGAATCCAAGTAAACGAATCCAAAATGAACATAGTAAGTGAAGGAAGGAAGAAGGCATAGGTCGCCTATAAAGCCATTCTCTTACGCATTGAACATGTCTGTCGCCGTCATAAACCTTAACAACTACTTGAAGGGATCGATCACGTCCTTTTCTCCGACGAACAACATATCTCACCTAAATTTACCAGCAATCTTGTTTACTTCTTTAACTGGATAAGGGAACTCGAACAGGATCTCTGTGTAAGCCTCCGGCTTCTTCTTCGGCTGGCTTGCAAGAAGCCTTTCCTGCCCTAGCTGTTGTACTCCAGTCCTCTAGAAGTTTTTACTAGGTGCAGGATCATCATTATGATCTCTCTCTCTCTCTCTCTCTCTCTCTCTCTCTCTCTCTCTCTCTCTCTCTCGGGTTTATGAAATGGAGTTAGGAAAGGACATTCCTAAAGCGATACAATGAAACAATACAAATTAGTATGTCAAGTTCATATTAGTCGTGTTTATGACAAAATAATAACAACCTGCCTAACACAATCATCAAACAAGCTGAGCTACTTGAATAACCAAAAATGGAACTGTACAGCCAGCCCAAATAAGTTGTGCCCACTACAAATGAGCCAAAAAACTGAAGATGCAGGTAAGTCATGACTCATCGATGACTCACCCTACATTAGCCAAGGTCGAGCTTGCTGATGCATGACTTGTGTAGGTTGTGGATTTAATCAAGTACTCCGGTACTCAACCATTGGCCATTATCTTTTCACTTCAAGCTATAGCTTTATTCTGCTGCTGTAGCAACTCGAAGTGTGAGCTTCTATGTCACTTCTTTCTCCATCCCCGTGATGACATGATTTTCCCCCTCTATTCCACAACCATTCTTTTTTGTCAGATCAGGCAACACTACGAAGGCCTGTTTGGGTTTTCCTACCAAGGATATGCTTTTGCAATAAAAACTGAATTTTTCCTATGAGCAAATTAATATACTAAGGATAACATGTTCGGATCATTACCTGCTGAATCCAGTAAGTTAGTAGTCGTACATTACCTCTACTATCCTTTGCTTTTCCTCATTGAGCTGCACATCCTCAAAGGAGATTCTGTTTATGGAGGTTGAGGCCCTCCTGACCTTGCTGTGCTAAGGGAATTTAAAGCTTTCAGTGTGATTCAGTTGCAGTTATATACAGTCTGGTTGTTGACTTTCCTATATATGAAATTCTCTGACAAGTTTATGTGCACTTACATGAGCATTGTAAGAGATCCTTTCATGATGTTGATCTGATTTAATTTCATGAATGATATGGATTCAGATAGTGATTTTGCCTTCACTTCTCCTCTAAGTGCAAACATGGCTATAGTGAGAACAAAAATCAAGTGCCTGCAATATTACTATAAACGTATGCAAAATATGGATTAACTAAACAAAACCAGAGGACTACTTTGAGTTGGTGGGTTGCCCCCAAACTTCAAGCCTGTCAGTGTCAGGCTGAGACAACATCAGACGGAGCTGCTTCCTCTTATCCCTTCCAACAACGTAATTCTCCACGGCACCCCAGACACGATGGTATTTGCTATTCTGCATGCTCTATAATTATCATATCAGCACCCAAATCCATCAATAGGAATAAAGAGCAGCATGAAAATTGCGTTTGACAATTCTTAAGATTCTCCACAGTGTTAAGAAGAGTAACTTATCTCATTGAATAAAGAGTTCCCGTTTTCACGTCCCGATCCCGTTAAGCCAGATTGAGGAGAATATACTCTCTCATTCTGTAATTAGTTAACAAATATGGATATAGATCGAGCCTCACTCTTGGAAAAATTCATATCCTTCATGTCGTACCATTCAGGCTTTTGAGTCCACTTTCAATTCCACCTTGAGAAGAGGTACTCAAAGAAGAAAATGTAAAATATTCTTTGAACAAACATAATGGGACAACATGGAACGATAGTGAGAAAGCTTGGATATTTGGTGTTTGGTTGATTTGAATCACTGTTCGTAATTTCAAAAAAAAAAAAAACTAAAAAGGACCTAATTACATTTCAAAATCAACAGACCAAAAAAGAAAAATTCAAAATCATAGTGATAAGAACACCGAATTAATTGTCTTACTCATTCTCTCCTCAACCACCCCCCCCCCCCCCCCATTCAGCCCAGCCCTCATTCAGTCTTCTTTTCCTCCCACTCACCCCCTAGGGATGAGGACGGTTCCACGGTAGAACCGAGAACTGAAGAATCGAACCGGCGGATTCGGTTCGGTTCCCGGTTCTAGGGTGAGAGGTTCCGGTTCCCGGTTCTAATTTTTTAGGAACCGGAACCAGAAGCCACTAAGAACCCTAACTTTCTTTTTCTTCCCCAATTTCCCCTCGCTCGGTCGCTCCTCCATTGTGCTCTCTTTCCCACTCCCCACATCCATGACTTGATGAGACCCTATGGCCTCTCCTCGCATTGCTTACCACAGCGGAGAAGAGGGGAGAAGCTGTCGATGGCGCCATTGTCGTCTTCGTCCTCTCGGTCCAACCCTGAAACTGCCGTTCCTTTCGCTCGCCCCCTGCTTCACGGTTCCCTGGATGCGGACCGTCCGTACGGTCTCACCGCCTCTCTTCTTCTTCTTCTTCCAAGCTTTCGAGGACCGTGAGGCTCAGATGCACTTCGCAGAGGCCATGGACCGACGAGAGCGAGCTCGAACTCGAAGTTGAGCGGCTGTTCTCGAATCTCAACCGGACCACTCTCAAGCAGGAACCTGGTACAGTATCCTCCGACCTCGTGCGGCTCGCACGTTTCTTAGCGGCTGTGTTGTCTGATGTTGCTTTTTACTAGTGTGACGGCGTTCGTGTTTTTGTTTTGCTATTTTCAGGAAGTTTGTCCAGTGCGGTTTTTCTGGTGGTAGGCACTACGGTAAGGATTCAATTACCGATTTGTGTGCGATTTCTACAGTGACTGGCCTAAGTTAGCGTCGCGTTGCGTGCAGAGTGAATTTCGTACGTAGGTTATGTTCAATTTTGTTTGGATCACAGACTCTCTGATAATCTGATCTCTTATTGCCTGGTGGAAATTCTGGCATGACAAATTGCTTGTTAAGTCTGGTCGTATTTGTCGAGGAATTCTAGCGGCTCATTTTTGCTGTGATGTTCGCTTTAATGATTTGAAGTTTGATAAGTAGGAGCTGGGATTCCCGCCATACCTGCCGTGACATGAGATTCTGGATACATAGCTTCCGTAGTTACCTGTGTTTTTTGTTGAATCTCCACGGTAATAATTTGTGTGATAATTTGTAAACATATTCACGTTGTGAATTTTTCTTGTTCTTCTTTGTGAACCGTTGTCAATTCATCATTGACAACAAGCTAGTCAAATTATCACTCACGGCTGCAATTCTTGGGTGTCGAAACATTGCAGGTTGCAACAGGGCTGCTCATTGCTAAAGTCAATGTGAACACAATGTGTGAACTGGGTTCTGGAGGTGTATAGCTGGTAATCCGCTCTCGAGTAAACACTTTGCAAATTTGACCGACACCGAGTTAAACCTCCTTTCTTATTTATTATTATTATTTATTTTATTATATTTGTTGATTTGCTTATTTATTTATTTACTTGTCTTTTGTTCTTTTTCTATTGTTTATTTTCATTAATTTGAATGCCCAATTTGTCCACTGGAATTCAATTGTCAAAAGGTTGCCTCTGCATCCTTGGAGAATGCAACACCTTCAACGTAGAGAAATAACAACATAGCCACTTGACTAACAACGTTTTTGTAGTAATATGGTGCAACTCATTTGATTAATTCAACAACATAACTTTTTATATTTCGTTAGGTGAATATAGCATACAAAACATGAATATCTCCAATTAATATCTTCCGAGGTTCAGATCACATGAGATAGTATAAACTCGTGGAAGATGGTCAGACATATAGCGAATCGGCCAATCTATTCCAATTTTGAGAACATTGCCACCAATGGCCAACGTCCCAATGCCCAGAACAAATCCCACCATTACCTATTGAGGTTTCCTCTTGTTTCTAAAACTTCGGCTGAATTCCTTTTACAAGTTTTAATTGGGGCCTGCTGCGAATTGAAGAGTTTGATTCTTGAACGAACTAACTCGAAATGTGGGCGAATTGGACCAGGCTCTCTTATGGACTTTGCAAATTTGATCGAGACCGAATTAAACCTCCTTTCTTATTGATTTTATTAGTTTTTATTATCTTTTATTTTCTTTTATATTTGTTGATTTGCTTTTTTATTTATTTATCTATTTTTTGTTCCTTTTCTATTGTTTATTTTCACTAAAATGTATGCCCAATTTGTCGACTAGAATTCAGTTGTCAAAAAGTACAAATGAATTGAAAATTATATCTAGCCAAATTTTTTTCCATAAATGCAAACTTTGAAACTTTCTGCGGACAATAAAGATGGAAACATCTGCAAAAATGTGAATAGAGGTGTGTGCCGAATTCAATTCAACTAGAGAATCGGACCGAATTGGTCTACACTGACCGGTTCAAGGCCTATTCTAGAAATAAATCGTTGGATTTTCGGTTCCGTGAATTCGGAACTGGTTTCCAAACCTTTCCAACAAAAAGTTACCTTTGCATCCATGGAGAATTGAACATCTTCAACATGAAGAAATAACAACATAACCACTTGACTAACAAAGTTTTTATAATAATATGGTGCAACTTATTTGATTAATTCAACAACATAACTTTTTATATTTCATTAGGTGAATATAGCATTCAAGATATGAATATCTCCACTTGATATCTCCCTAGGTTCAGATCGCATGAGATAGCTTAAATTCGTGGAAGATTTTTAACCCGCAATGCTTCTTTTGCATTCCCTCAAAAGTTTTTTCAGATCATCATAATAATTTAAGAGATTTGAACATCGGTTTTGAAATTGTGCGACAACTAGCATTAGAGCGGATATTCAATCAAGATCAATTAATAAAGACGAAATTAGGAAAATAAATATAAAAGATTACATTAGCTAATCTACTAAATCAATTGCGGATTTGACTGAATCAATAGATCCGTAGTTAGGATCAATATCAAAATCGATATCTCCAATCATATCTTCAACAGCCTCGACCTATGTAAAAAGGGGAGGATAGTGTTAAGCACGAAGCTGCAAGGTTTCAAAATTAAGAGCTATTACTCTCTCTCTTACAGAGATAAGCACGGTCGCTTCTTCACGATTGCCACCTTTTGTGCCATCTATGAGAAGGGGTGACTAAATCAATTCGTACTTGGAACGAATATCCCCTTTTATTTTTCGGAGATGGCCCCAATCCTATCCAGGTTGTTCTTCCTTTTATCCATCTGGGATTTGCCCGACATCAATTCCGTCTTTTTTCTTCTAGAATGCATTTGCCAGTGATTGTCCCTTTTGATGCATTACTGTGCCGTTTGTGTAATTTGCATAATAACACAATAACATGTGTTAAGTTCTGGATAAAACATGTGGAGTTCAAACAGATACTACCTTTTTTTTTTTTCTCAAAGGTGTGTTCTCAATCCTTTATTATCAAATCACATCATGGTGGGCAAAATATTCCAAGGCAACTTTGCCCCCATGTTACACCACCAATTTTGCAGTTTGATCCTCCATGACTTTCAGGTGTTAAATATCAAATTCGTGATCTGGCAAGAATTCGAGATCTATGGAACTCTATCATGGAAGAATTCCTGAGAATCAACAGAAAATTGATCATATACCAAAAGAAAACCTTTGTAGTGAACTAGGGCAACAAAGGTTCACTTGCCCCTTGGGTCTTCGTTGCACCTTTCAAGCAAATATTGCTTAGCACACAACAAGGACTCAGGACTTCGATTCATCTCTTGCCAAGATTTCGGTATATAATAAATCAACACAGAAGGTTAACAATAATGCTAAATCATATGACTGTCCAAGTGTACTCAGATGTAATGAACAGTGGGCCCTACGCATCGAGGTCTTATACACCTTTGAAAAATATGTTTGGAGAATGAGTCTTTATAAAAAGCCTACTGCAATTGGATGGACCCAAGTCCCACTAAAACATGTGATGGCCAAATGCAATTTCAAAACATGCCTGCTTTGTTTTGGGCAAATCTATTTGCTATCTTGAACTTTTCACGAAATAATGGATTTTACATCAATTAGGATGCAATTTCAAGAGCTTTGCATGAGAAGGCCTAATGATTTTTGAAAAAAAAAGGTAAAACAAGCATTACAAATCTTGGATAGGGGGAAAGCAACCTTTATTTTGATTTTGGAAAATTGGCTACGGGTGTGCAAAACGGACCGCCTGAACTGGGAACGGGAATCGGACCGAACCGAAGAGTAATCTCCAACAGTAAAGCCAATCACGTGCAGGCCTAGAGAACCCTCCACATATGTCGGTTTTTATTCAATAAGCAAACCAATTGTTTAGGTTCACTACCAGAAACTCATCACCGGGCCATACTGTATGTGTTAAACATATTAGCACCTGATCTTTTGCCTAAGATAGTGGATTTTCAACTATAAATTTAGGGACCATCCTAAGAATAGATAGATTGCCATAGCCATCACTCAAAGAGCAAATTCAATGTCTTAGCCATCTACTGCCGGCCACCCATGAGTTCAGCTTGAAACATGGGCCCCAAGGTATTAGATTTGTTAGAAAGCTGTTAGTTCTCTACATTTGCAATCAAATTGCAAGTCGCTTTTTCTCTATGCTGCGACTTTTTTTTGCAGTGTCAGTCAGAACACACTGCCACCAAAAACAGAAAAATGTCAATATACTGTAAAAATTCCCACATTCTCCTTCTTGTGCACATCAGATAAGTAGAGTTACAACACCAATCATTGGCCTGAAGAGATTAGAAATACCCTAACTAGCAAGTGACAAGTACTAGTCAAGAAAAATTAAGCATAACCATCTATACTGGTGGTGATTATGTCTAATAATGGATACTTTTTCAATTCTCTTACCGATTATACTGGAAATAGCATGTGTGTAAACTTTTGGAAATGTGACATTAAAGGAAAAGAAGGATGTTTAGTATCATAAAGTACAGAAGTTAAGATGATTGAACCCATGATACATCCTCTACTAACTTTAGAGAAGAAACCTACTTGTCAAGATGGGTGCATATGACACCCCACTTAACATACGTGCAACCGGCTAAGATAGATAAGAAAACAGGAAGCTAAGAGAGATGAAAGGAATCCGAGATTTAGACAACATAAGTTCCTTTCTATGGTCAATCTGCCATTTACTATATACAGATAAACAGAAATTAATTAACAGCAGAATGAAATTGATAAACAATAAAATGAGTACCGTTGTTGTGGAAGTCCTCTTTTCGCTATTGAGTTTAGATAATAATGAATGCCTAGTTTCAGCTGATGATTTCCCAGCTTTTCTCTTCAATTTGCCTCTTGTCCTTGAACTCTGACAAATGGGAAAAAAGATCAAATCTATCCCCGGAACGAACACCCCATAATTGTCACTATCACAAGGCATAATATTGTCTTGTAGTTCCATTCCATGCAACAATTGGAGCCAGATGGAGGTCACATCCATGTTGCATGCATACATCAAACAAGGTATAGTATAACCCAAATAATATAATTTAAAAATCAGGTAACACAGGCACTGAAACCAACTCTTTCATTGTCAACAAAAGTAAACTTTCGAAGGAACTTCACCGCGAGCCACTCTTCCAACCATGATCAGTATTTTCATGCTCAACAAACTAAAGCATCATCCAAGCCCCAAGTGCAGATCATTATGACTTAATGTATTATTTTTATCGTCATATTTAGGTTAATTCTGCTCAGGTTTTACAAAACTTGAGCAGTAGCTAGCATCCATTTACAGCATAGTCAGTTTCATTTCTTTACCTCCATTCCACTAAACTTCTCAGCATTTGACCATGTGACAACTCATATACCAAGTAAAGTAAATTTAGTATGGCTACAGTACGTAGCCCAGACATTACCCAAATTCTTTGTTCCTCATGGGTGCAAAGATCTATTTGATCCAATAATACCCACTGTAACTACCTTAGAAGCTCTTTTTCGATGAACATAATCCATTAGAGGCGTCGTGACAATAGGAACACCTTCTGCAGCACCTACGAAAGCATAATGAAAGATCAAATAATGTTCCAGTCAGCTCCTCTTAAGATTTCTTTTCTCAAAGTGATATTCAAGAGAACTTTAACAGA